TTGTCTTAGAACTGGAATTGATCAGATTCATTTTTACTTTGCTGAAGGAAGCTACTGGCACAGTTTTTGTCAAAAATTGCTTTGCTTCTCTTAATGGGCTATAAGTGAAGAAAGCTCAGCAGGACCTAAAGTTGGAAGCTGGATGTGGTACTGCTCCTTGTCATCCTAGCACTCAGGTGGCAAATGCCGCAGTTGGAGGCCAGCCTGGGCTACATGAGAGACTCTTAAACTCCCTCTCTTCAAAAAGACCAAAAGTTGGCATGGTTTAAGACCAGACAGTTCACTTCTACCAGGTGTAATTATGTAATATGACTCATTCCACCACCACCCCGCCAGCCTTGTGGAAAGCTGTGCCCTGTCTGAAATATCTGTGCCCTCAACAGGACTGGCTTCTTGGGCCCCAAAGGTGTGGCTTTCCTCTCATGTTGGGGTCAGCATGCCCGATCTCTGAAGGGCAGGGTATTAAATGCCACTGCCTGAGAGCCATCTGGCTCTGTCTTCATTACATGGCACTATCCCTGAGCAGCCATGTCCAATCTGTCATCAGAGCGATCTGTGTTCCAGGAAAAGTTGCTGACAAAGACAGGCAACAGCTGGAGCTGCCTGGGGCTGCTGCTCGCCAGCCTCACCCCATGTTTAATTAATGGAGCCCTGACTGAGTTTACCCTCTGTTTTGTCTTTTCTATTAGGAAACGGTCCTGGTGAGGTGTGTTCGTCCTGGCTGTCCTGCAGTTAGTAAGACACATAGTTTTGAAAAGTGAGTGTTTCTCCAGGGGAACTGGAGCTGTGTCCAATGTCAGACATGTCCGCTGGGGAGGGGTTAGCAAGGTGTGGGCTTCATCTGCTGTTGAAGGGCTGTGGTCACAAATGAGCCACATGAAAATGTTCCAGGTAGAATCTCATCCTTATTGATCTAGTGTGCTAGCAGGCATTTTGTCAAGATGACAGTGACTAGCCACAGGGCCTGTGTCAGAGGCTTCCTTAGCTAGATGGCAGTGGTGTCCCCAGGGACAGGGGGAGGCCCTCGAGAGGCCACAGAAGAGCTGGAAGGAGGTCTGGGGTGGGCGGCTGCCCAGCCTCCATCCGCCGACTGGGTCCCACTGAAGACTCTTCCTCCCCACAGCTGAAGCCTTGTGGGGCTGCAGCTGGAGAGTGCGGATTCATCCCCCAGCCTCCTGCTCAGGACCAGTTAACAGGTGGATTAGAGGGCAGAGTCCACCAGTGCCAGAGCCTCAAGAGGGATCAGGGGACCCACAGGACTCTTGTGGGCCTAGGGGTCCTCCCAGTTACAAGGCAAGGACAGAGTGTGGATAGTCTGGCTTCAGATAAGGGCTGCTGGGCTCCCCAGCCTAACTGAAGTACATGCTGATCAGGGTCCATCTGCTTCCAAGGGTCTGCCTACATCTCATGGCCCCTGGGCTCCTTACATCCTTATTACCATGAGCAGCTGACTTTGCTCTCCCTTGGCCCCTGCCAGCTTGAAAAGTCATAGACACCAGGCTTCTGTGTGAATCTTGGCTGTGTTCGGAGTTCTGTGGGAAGTCGGAAGACGCGTCCCCCAGGCTTCTGTGTTTGTGCAAGTAGCTCCCATCCTCCCACTAATGCATCATCGCCCCTTGCCTCCCAGAGTACATGGCCCAGCAGAGTCTCAGGCAGTGGTGTTTGGAGACGTGTACCCCTCCTCGTATCCGGCCTGGATGGGCAAGTTCAGATCTTTCCAACCAGTGTCGTGGTTACATTTTAAAATAAGGACTCCTCACTCTGGCCACAGGATGCCAAGGCTGCAAGAGAGGGGGCGGTGGTCCAGTGTGGCTCAGTGTCTGGTGGTGGAGACTATCTCTGCCCCTGGAAAAGAGCAGACTAGTGAGGGAACTAGCATCAGAAGGAGCGCGAGTCCTGGGCCATGTGGGCGTTCCATAGTGCGCACTGGCAGACAGGCAGAGCAACTGCCTTTTTCCCCCACAGGATTCTTTTTATTAAATTTTCTCTGACAGTTTCATGCATACATATAATGTATTCTGGTAGCTCTCATCCGCCACCCTCTCTTAGCGCCTACCTGTCCCTGTCAACTTCTGCTTCTCCTTCTGGGTCCTTTCCCATGTTCCTGTCTGTTTTGTTTTGTGCCCCACTGAGTTTAAGCAGGGCTAGCTGTGTGACCATGGATCTGGAACCAGCCAGTGGAGCCTGGTGGGCTCAGCAGAGAGTACACAACTAAAGACAGTGACGGCCTCCCCGTGAATCTACCAGTAGCCAGTAGTTCCCAGAGAAAGTCGGGGCCCCATGAGCCCCTCTCCCATCCCTGTCTGGTGGTTAGCACACCCAGTCTTGTGCAGGCCTAGTTCAGGCAACCACAGCTGCTGTGAACTTGTAGTTGCAATGACTGTGTCACGCCCAGAAGAGCGTGTGCATCCCTTCCCCTCGGCCCCCAGCTCTTATGTTCTTTCTGTCACTTCTTCTGCAATGTTTCCTGAGCCTCAGAGGGAGTGGTGTACATGTCCTGTTTAGGGATGACCACTACAGCTAATTTCTCAATGGAAACTTTAAAGTTTAGACAATCTTGTAACAATGGACTTCAAGTTCTGAACCACAGATACCAAGGCAGACTGCTCACTATCCTCCAGAAACTGTCCTGAAGGGGAAAGAAAAATATTCCGTGATAAAAACAGGCTAAAAGAGTAAATGGCCACCAAGCCAACCCTTCAGGGAACCCCAGAAGGGCCACTGAGGCCTGAGGAGGATGGGCTCACCAAGAGCCAGGGGTCAAAAATAAACAATGCAGGGCTGGAGAGATGGCTCAGCAGTTAAGAGCACTGGCTGCTCTTGCAGAGGACCCGGGTTTGATTCGTAGCACCCATGTGGCAGCTGACAACCATGTAACTCCAGTTTCAGGGGATCTGACACCCTCTTCTGACCTCTGCAGACATTGTACGACACAGGTGCACCTACCTACATGCACCTACCTCATTCACATAAAATAAAAATAATAAAGTATTCAAGAATAAATAAATGATGCTAGGACCGTTGTTATGCAGAGTAGGACCAAGAAAATAAACCACGGAATCAATAGACAACAATGAATTCATATCTTTCAATAATAACATTGACTATTACTGACCTCAACTTCCCAACCAAAAGACAGGCTAGACTATTGGATTAGAAAACAGGAGCCATCTTTTTGTTGTCTACAAGAAATATATTTCACCTTTAAAGATAGACACTCCCTTAGTGGGAATGGGTGGGAAGAAACATTCCTAGCAAATGAGACCAGGAAACAAGCCAGGTCACTGCTATGAGGAGAGACCATTTCTTTGGCAGGAACTGAACTGCGACACTCTAAGCCAAGGCTTTGAACCTCTGGGCATTTCGAGGATCTTAGTTTTGTAGACAGAGCAGAAGTTGCCATCTGCGCTTTTGTTCCAACCAGTGTGCTGTGTGGCCAGGCGCCTGCGGTTTGCAGAGGAAGGTCCAGCCAGGCACCCACATCTTCCTCACTGTGCATGTGTATGGGCCAGTCCTCCCTTCTGCTGGGATGTTCTTCCTGATTTAGCTTTGTGCATCTGTCCGCTGGAAATGCCAAGGGAGTATCTGGGTCAGAAGGCCTCCTTTACCTCTGTGAGGTGAGTATCACGGGCATACCACTGGCCAGGCTTGCCTGCCATCATAAACCAAGCCCATGGTGTCATTCTAAGTGTTGTGCTCCCTTCAACCCTATATTCCTCAGGGAATTAAAGACGCCCCCCCCAACAGGAGCCAGCCTGTCTGTTACAGGTGTGTTGTAGGGAAGGTTTCAGGAAGGTAGAGAGCTATGGAATGTGGTCCACATTGAGTCTTCTTAGTTCTGGAAGGAAAGCATCCAGGGTAATGGCTTAGAGACCCTGATGGATCCCAGGGCCTTGGTGGAATGGAATGATTCACGTTGGAGGTGGGACCTCTACTTTGTCTCTGTGGCTGCCACTCCAGATGTGACAACAGAAGCCCATCAATCAGTCAAAACACTTCCACAATACCATTTTATGAGAGAATAACATTAGTTTGTTTAATTGGCAAGTTTAAACAGCTAGGTCTGCTTGAGGTTGATTAAGTCAGAATTTCTCAAGTGAAGAGTGTTGGTGGCCCATTGAATGCCCCCTTTAAATGTTTCTAGTTCTTATTGATGTTTTGAGTTAAAATAAAATGACTAGAAGAAAACTTAGGAATCTATCAGAAGCTCTGGTCTTCTGGGGACTAGACTATTGTGATACCAGCTTGTAGGAATTTGAGGAGCACACAGTGTGCACTGCAGTGGGAACCTCAGTACCTCTGTCCACCAGGAATAAGAAGCCATAGACCTTTGGATAACAAATATTTTTAAAATATCTATTAGACCCTGGGCATGGTAGCACATGCCTTTAGTCCCAGCACTCAGGAGGCTGAGGCAGGTGGATCGCTTATGAGATGGAGGCCAGCCTGGTCTACATAGTGAGTTCCAGGCCATTTGGGGCTACAGAGATGGTCCCTGGAACCACATGGCGGAAGGAGAGAACCAACTCTCATGTGCTGTCCTCTGGCCTCCACACTCACACTGGTGCACACACTGTGCCAGGCACATGCTGCCTTGCCTACCACATACCCAAAGTACATAAATAAAACATGTAAAAACTGGAAACTATTGGAAAAGTGACTATTGTCAGCACACCCATAGCCACCAACATTGGAATCAGCTGTGCACATAAGGAGGCAAACATTAGACTTTATTTCAAATGATCCAATAATCCTGATTTGGGAAGATGAATTTATGTCAGGCAACTGTGCTGTTTAAACTGTGTTTAAAGTTAATGTGATATTTGCAGTAGTTCCTGGACTGACAGAGGGCTAAGCAGTAGCCCTGGTGAAGGCCATCCCAGGCTAAGACTCAGGGCTTGCTAAGGAGCAAGCTTGCAGAGTGGTACAGCAAGGTAACTGGTGATTGGGTGCATGAGAGACATGGCAGTGTAGGTAAATGGAAACCTGAGCCAGAAGGAATGCAGGTATGGGGGGAACATGAAATGGAGTGCATAGACGTCTAACGTCCAGGTACAAGGCTCTGGAGTTGATGGCCTCCGACTCTGTTTTACTGCACTAAGTGGGCTTTAAATTTTAGGTACAATGTGTGCATTAGGCATATGGACAGACGGGAAGTGGGAAGAGCTACACCATGTCGGGGCCCCATTCTGAAGAGGAGTCCAGGCTGCTGTCAGGTGCTCATGGTGACTTGGGAATCATCCCCAGAGCAGCTGAGGAGCTCCTCAGGTGTGTCCTCTGGTGAGAACTCGGGGCAGATAGATGGGTGCTGTGCAGAGCTGTGAGGCAGGCAGAGTGATCCCTGAAAGAACAAGCCTGGACTGGAAGATGGGAGGCGCTGGTGCCTGTGGGAGACCGCTGAACCAAAGCCCAGCAGCGGCTGCTCACGGGCCGCGCATCCACACCACCACCTGTTGTTAGGGTCCAACTTCCCTAGAGCGCTCTGAGCGAGACAGTTCTCAGTGGAGGGAGAGATGGAGTTGTGTTTAGAGAAGAAGGACAAGGTGGGGACTCCCTCCCCAATCCTGCTGCCCCCAGGGAGCTTTGTGCTTTGGCTGTCTTAGGGATTCCTCCATATTTGCGCCATCGGGGCTCCCCTGTTCCCTACCACGTCCCCAGAGATGCCTGTTGTCATTTCACCAAGATTCATCCTAGAAGGAAGACAGTAAAAGTAGTTCTCAGCCGTCTGTCCTAGTAGGAAGGCCTGGAGCACTGTGGTCCCCATCACCCGCCCCTGTTGACTGTCTCCGGTGCCTCTTTGGGAGGCTGCTTCCTGTCTACCCAGCGCTGTCTGTGTAGACCTGTGGCTGGACGTGGCACATCCCTAGTAGAACTGCCAACACCTGGAGGTCAACCCTGGTGGCAGCAGCAGTCCCACAGTGCAGCGAGGTGGCCTTGGGCGCTCATCCCTGAGATTCTGGTTTCGTTTCAGCCATTCATGCTGTTGCCCTTTCCTGTCCTGAGCACCACGGCCAGATGGTGATGTAAGAACCACTGCAGTCTTTTCAAACCCGTGTTCTTTCAGTATGTGTGCGGGAACAGATGTTTATCGCTTGCATATGCTAACTGCTTCTGGAAAAAAGTTGCAAAATCCTTCCTAGTTTTCCATTGTTCGTGGCTGTTATTTCCATGAGGCAAGCTGGCCTTGGAAAAGCTGTGGTGACAGACCTCTGGAAATCTCAGTGACCTGTGGCTTTGAGGGTGGGCATGGCCGTGCAGAGCATGTGTCCACTTCCACAGGGGCCATGTCTGAGTGGGGCAGGGCACCTTAAATTTTCAGACAGTGCTAGGATTTGAGACCCATTTCCAGGGGCTGCTGCCCCACATCTGCCAGCCATGCCATATGCTTCAAAACAGCACCACCATCTGGGGACCAAGTGTTCAAACACAGGAACCTGTGGGGGACATTTCGGATTCCAGTCCGACGTGTGAACTAGCACCAGATCCTGACTGAAGTCTTCCATGGGGGCCACAGAGACATGCAGGATAAGGATGATCCTGACAGAACTAGGAGTCTGTCTTCCAGTTATAAGAAGGACTTCGACCCAGCCTCCCTACCCCTCACATTCTTTACCGGCAAGGAGATTCATAGTCCAAACACAGATGGCTCTAGGCTTTGTTTCCTAGTCACTGTAGACCAGCCCCTGATCGGAACAGGTTCAGGGCTGATGCTTTCATTTCTGTGCATTTCCCCAGGCTCATTTCAGAAAATCCTTCAAGAAACTCAAAGGTTGAGGTTTCCATAATAGAAATTTACAATAACGACATCTTTGACCTTCTGGCCAAAGACAATTCAGTGGTGGTGTCTGGGGTTAAGCGTGAGGCAGTGACAACCCAGGAGGGACGGACAGAGATCTCCCTGCTGACCTGCAGGTGAGTTGCTCATGGGGCCCAGTGGCCTGCAGACAGGTACTTAACATCTTGTCAGACACACACACACACACACACACACACACACACACACGCACAAAACACCACAGAAAGAGAAAACAGAAGAAAGCAATTGTTTTGAAAATTAATATATATAAATAAATAACTGTATCGTGTATCATTAAAGAAAACCATCTTCACAGGAGTCGATGGGTGTCACCCTGCCTTGTAGGAGAGGAAACAGGCTTGAAGAAGTGAAATCCCCACTCACCGCAGTCAGTCAAGGGCAGGTATAATTATGTACATCTGGAAGTATCAGTATTTTATAGAATGCCATAGTAAATTATCTTGAAAAAGTGAGAGGTCTCCCATCCATTAGATGTTCTCTGGTTGCCAGGCTCCCTCATGTTGGGGTGCAGGGCACACCACAGCCTAGCACAGCAAGGGGTTCCTGCTGCACTGTGGCAGTGAAGGCAGTGCTGTCCACTCTGGGGTTCAGAGCAGGCCAGGCTTCCAAACTGTTTACTACTGCAGAACGCTTACAGGAAAGCATACAATTAGCTGTGACACGTTTGCAGAAGGTACTGGAAGCTCGAGCTTTTCACTGATGGACCTGCTGATGCAACTGCTCCTCAGCCTGTCTCCCTGACAGAAGATGAGGATGTGGCTTCACGTTGGCTTCACAGATTTAATTTGCTGCACAAAGATTTTTTGGGGGGTCTTTTTGAGACAGGGTCTCCCTGTAGTCCCAGCAGTCCTGGAACTCACTATGTAGACCAGGCTGGCCTAGAAGCCACAGAGATCTGCCTGCCTCTGCGTCCCAAGTGCTGGGATCAAAGGCGTGCGCCACCACGCCCGGCATGCACAAAATATTTTTAAGATTCTGGTCCCTGAAGATGTAACAAGTGAAGAAAACAGTGGCAGCTCATGTCAGAGACTGGTGAGAGGCAGTGACAACCCAGGAGGGACCAAACTCAGAAACTGTTTGATTTTTCAAGCAGTACTATATGTCCAGCTCTCCTTTAGAGACAGGGTCTCACTAAGTTGCCCATTCTAGCCTGGGACTCATTCTGTAGACCAGACTAACCTTGAACTCATAATCTCCCCCGCCCCCGCCAAGTCCAAACAGCTGGGATTACAGATCTGCTACTCCAGGCCTAGGCAGTCTACTTTCTGAACTCCTGCACACTTTGTTCTCATGAGAGTTGTCAGCTGAGTAAGCTTAGGTCAACGTGAAGACAGGTAGCTGGGGCTGTCCTTTGAGTCACGTCTTCCGACAGGACTGCCATCAGCGCCATGGAGTTTGTGGAACTCATCTATGAAGGTCTGCAGCTCAGGGCGAGGCACCCCACCCTGTGCACAAGAACTCCTCCAGACCCCACCTGGTTATCACAGCAACTCTGACCACCTTCTTGTGCAGAACTGCTAAGTTGCCACTTATGTTAAGGGTCAATTCTGGGCATAGAAGTCCAGTCCGGGAGAACTAGCATGGCTGCCAGATCCGTGGCTTCTCTTAAGGACTGAGTGAGTACTGCAGCCACATCCCCTGACAGCCTAGAACCCACATCTAGGAGGCCCTGAAATGCCAGGCTGTGGAGAGGGGAGGAGAGGGAGGGAAACACTTTGCTAGACAACGCAGGAATGTAGGAAACACTTACACCCTAGGACGAGATGCATCCATCTTAAATGAAACTGTGGTTTCAGTTTAAAATGAAAGTATATAACGTGATCTCAAGCATATATGGAGATGAAGCCCAGCGTGTAAAGGCTGGTGACATCCAGGGCAGCAGCTTGGGGTCAGCCACCCGAGTCACCTGCAGGACTAACCCTAACAGTCAGATGTAGCATGTTCACAGCTCTACAAGCTCTACAGCCAGGCTGCTGATTTGGGCCTGTCATACTGCAGCAGTGACCTGGGCTCAGTGGGTCCCACTCAAGGCCGACCCTCACATCAAAGACTAGTGCAGGTAGACAATCTCCATCTTGTCACGGTAACACTTGACTCCTGTGACTCCAGGGTTACACAAGCAAGGGCAGGGACAGGTGAGGGCAGCATAGATGATTAGATCCAACCATGTACGGCCCACTGGGAGGGCTAGGGCAGCTCCTGTTGCTTGGGGAGGCGCAGCTGTCTGCCGAGGGATTCCCAGACACACAGGGACAAAATCTGTCCTTTGTGTGGTGGGAATAACTACAGGTTCTGTTTACTTTTTTGACAAAAGAATATTTGTTTTCTGTTTTGTACAATGAGAATAGATTATTTAAGTTTAAAAATATTTCTAGCTGGGCCTGGTGGCGCACGCCTTTAATCCTAGCACTTGGGAGGCAGAGGCAGACCGATCTCTGTGAGTTCAAGGCTAGCCTGGTCTACAAAGTGAGTTCCAGGACAGCTGGGGCTACAGGGAGACCCTCTCTCAAAAAGACCAAAAAAAAAATATTTCTATAACAATAGGAGGTAGGAACTGGCTAGGCACTTAGGGTAAAAAGACCCCAAAGAAAAGTGGCTAAAAGTCAAAACATCCTCGGGCCTCTTAGCAACATACTCTGCTTCAAAGGCCAAAAATGTCAAAAGTATTTGGGAGCGCCCATCTAATCCCTAAAAGATTTTAGGGATACCTCTTCAGAGGGGGATGTTGGAGTAGCAAAAAGCCCCATAAAAGAAAGAAAACAAGAAGGAAGGAGGGAGGGAGGGAGGGAGGAGGAAGGAGGGAGGGAGGGAAGGAAGGAAGGAAGGAAGGAGGAAGGAAGGAAGGAAGGAGGGAAGGAAGGAAGGAGGGAGGGAGGGAAGGAAGGAGGGAAGGAGGGAGGGAGGGAGGATGGAAGGAAGGAGGGAGGGAAGGAAGGAAGGAGGAAGGAAGGAAGAAGGGAGGGAGGGAAGGAAGGAAGGAGGAAGGAGGGAAGGAGGAAGGAAGGAGGGAGGAAGGAAGGAAGGAGGGAAGGAAGGAAGGAGGGAGAGAAGGAAGGAAGAATGGAAGGAGGGAGGGAGGGAAGGAAGGAAGGAGGGAGGGTGGAAGGAAGGAGGGAGGGCAGAAGGAAGGAGGAAGGAAGGAAGGAAGGAGAGAGGAAGGAAGAAGGGCGGAAGGAAGGAGGAAGGAAGGAAGGAAGGAGATGAAGTTGTCAGAAAAAAGTGATGGGGAGATATGGGAGCTGTTGAAGGGGAGAGGGTAGGCATGGATTTGATCAAAATACCTTATATGCTTGTATGAAATTCTCAATAGTTTTTTTTTTAAGTTAAAAAAATATTTCTAAGACATTTGCTTGGCAACAACAGCACAGGTAAGACTGAGGGCTGTCGCAAGAGGAAGGGCACTTTACAGGGTTCTAGGACAGTGGAGTTCATTTCCAGGGCACGTCTGCTGTTCTGTCTGAGGGTTCGGTGTGTGCCGTTACCCACACGTCCCAACAGGCATTATTTGATTTGTGGCGTCGGGCAGA